GCAACAAAATTTGTAGCAGCTAAATCCTGGAAACAGCCCAAATACCTATCAAAAGATGAATGGATGAAGAAGTTTTTTTTATACAATGTAGTACTACTCTGCCATAAATAAGGATAATCTTGAGACTTTTCTAGGTAAATGGATGCACCTTGAGACTATACTTTTAAGTGAAATAAATTGGGCATGTATATATAAATATCACATTGTTTCACTGGTGTGAGACACCAAAAGGATAAATAAAGATCAAAATAATAGATGTTGAGAAATAGGAAGAAAATGTTCAAATAAGAGGAACAAGGGAAGGGGAAAGGAAGTAAAGGAAAAGAAAAAAGAGAAGAGATGGGAAAAAAATTGAAACAAAGCCATGGTAAATAAGGAAGAGAGGAGGTATTAAAGGGAGGGGAGGAGCTTGGGGAAAAAAGAAGAATCAAGATATGTTACATACAGGTATAAATTCTCTATGATGAATGTGATCTCTCTCTCTCTCTCTCTCTCTCTCTCTCTCTCTCTAATTAAAAAAATAAAGTTGAAATCCATAATATTTATTGATAGTGAAGGATGATTCTTGTGTGTGTGTATGTGTGTGTGTGTGTCTGTCTGTCTGTCTGTGTCTCTTGTGTGTGTTTGGGAGATTAGAGACCATTTGAGTCCAGCAAATTTTGAGAAAAAAACTGTTATGTAAAATGAGAGAAAGAAGATGATCAGGGCCGAGGATATAGCTCAGCGGCACAAGCACCTGTCGGCATGAGCAAGGTCCTGAGTTCAATTCCCAGTACCAAAAAAAGAGAAGAGGAGAGGAGAGGAGAGGAGAGGGACTTTGGAAAAGTTACTTAAACTCTGAACCATAGTTTTTCCATCTAAAATTGTGATCAATAATACTGGATCTAAATTTATTGTTCTCTATGAGAAATAAAGGTAACATGCTTAGATCATAGCAGGTCATCATCAGACAACTTCTATTCAGTTACCAGAAATCCTTTTTCTTTCTTTCTTTCTTTCTTTCTTTCTTTCTTTCTTTCTTTCTTTCTTTCTTTCTTTCTTTCTTTCTTCTCTTTTTGGTGGTGCTGGGAGTCAAACCTGGGCCTTGAGTCACATCCCCAGCAACTACCAGAAATTTTTTTTTTTTTTTTGTCTTTTTGAGACAGGGTCTTGCTATGGAGTTCAGGCTGGCTGTGAGCTCACTTTGTAGCCCTGGCTGGTGGATCTCAAACTCACAACGATCCTCCTGCCTCAGCCTCCCAAGAGCTGGGATTACAGGTGTGAACCACCACACCTGGCCAATCTTATTTATTTGTATCTCATCTTTCTTCCTCACCTTCCACTTGCAGTCTCTAAATTCTACCTCCCTACTTCCTTAACAGTTTTTGGATCCATCTTAACTACTACCTCCATGACTTTAGTTCAAGTCTCTATCATCTCCTGCCCAGATACTACTATGGACTCCCATTAGTACCACCCTTTAAATTGCTCTCCACACTGGCTTCCACTGCAGTCTTTCCAAATCCTCCCAAATCTCAACACATTTCCAGTGTTCCCACTTCTTCCTTGCATAGCTTGCAAGGGTCTGCACTTGCTGAGATAGAGTGTGCTTCATTTTTCTATCGCCACAGTAACAAGTTGTCATGAATTTAGTGACTTAAAATAACACCTATTTGGGCTTGGGGTATAGCTCAGTGCCATAAGCGCCTGCCTGACAAGCACAAGGTCCTGAGTTCGAGTCCCGGTACCAAAATAATAATAATAATAATAATGATACCCATTTATTAGCTCTTATAGCCAGAAGTCCCCCCAGTGTGTCTGGGTTCTCTGCTCCTAATATCACAAGGTATCATCCAAACTGAAATCTCTTCTGGGGACTTGGGAGAGGACTGAAGTCCCTGTTCTTGTGGTGGCTGTCAGCCAGGGACTGATCTCGGGCAGAGGCCACTTGGTCTGTGCCCCACACCTCCATCCTCCAGTGAGCAACAGCCGTATGTGGTCCTCCACACGGTCCTTTCTGTCTTCAAGCTACTAACAGTATGCTGAATCCCTGTTGCTCTTTAAATACCTCTGACTTCTGCTGTGGCCCAACAGGGAAAACGCTTGGCTTTTAAAGAACTTGTGTAAATTGGTTAGGACTAGTTGAATACTTTGTTTATCTTGAGATCACCTGATTAGTAACATAAACACCTGTAAAACTCCTTTCGCCACATAACAGTCATGAGAGTAGCATCTCATACATTTGCAAGTCTACCTACCCTCAAGAGAAGAAGATTATACAACAAATGGTATGAGTTACTGGGATAGAGTCAGCCTATAATTCTACCTACTCCAGGAGAGGAAGCCAGGGAAAACATCGCTGAAAATTGCTGCTGGAGCGCAGATCAAATGAATAAGAGAAGCTTCCAGAGAGTGTGTACAAGAGCCGTATAATGAAGGATGCATCGCAAAAAGGGGGGTGTGGGGTGGGAACCAGAGGAAGGTGAGTGTGTATATGAGGCAAAGGACAAGCCACAGTGACTAGAAATAAACTGACCAGGGAAGTCAGCAGCAGCCACGCCATGAGGGCTTCATAGATCCTGTTAAAAGGTGTTCTCTCTCCCCAAAACAGAGGTCAGAAGCATGGCAAAATCATATTGGCATTTTGAAAGTACACTGTGGCTACAAGGTGGAGGATGAATGTCAGGCAGCGCCAGTAAAACATGGTGGCCCCTTTCAGGAGCCTAGGAGAGCAGTACAAGAGACTCTACAGTACAGCAATGCATACAAGCAAATGGAGTCAAGGAACACTCAGTAGCTAAAATCAACAGGACTCCGTGATTAATTGGATATGAGAGCCATGTAGTTATGCTCCCCAGGAAGCAGACTCCAAAACAGAGATTACTGTGAAGGATGTTTACTAAGGAGTCTTCTTGGAGTTAACACCTGTGCAAGGGAGGGAATGAAAACGGGATTAGACAAAGGGAGAAGCTGGGCAGTCATTCAGTCCCAACAAAGACCTCAGTCAATCCCATGAGGAGCTCGGGGGCTGCAAGCAGATTTCAGAGTTGCTCTCCTCTGTGCTCATCAGTCACTGCAGGGTACCCCGGAAAGGGTGCGTGACCCTGGATGAACTAACCTTCTTCTGCCCAGACAACTCATGAAAGGGGATGACAGTTGAGGAAGTCTTCCAGCAGCACTCTCGGTAGCTGGACAATTAATACGTCATCTTTGAAGGGGAGTCTGGGATTTGTATCACAGCCTCCGTTACGGGGTGGAAGAGCCCAAGGGAGTAAGGCAGTAAGGATGACTTTAACTTTCTGATCTGTGCACCTCAGTGGATACACTTATGACCATATATTGCAATCACTGGCTTACTTGGCAAAATCACCATTAGAGCTGGTGATGCTCAGGGACAGGCCGCATACAGGATGGTCGGTGCACAGTCTTGTACTGGCACATGGTTTCCTGGGTAAGTAAATGTCTGTCGACTATTTTCATCCCTTTCTCCCCTGTCTTTCCTTTGTCCCTCAGCCGTCATCCAGTGTGGGAAAAGGTCAGCAGGTTATCTGGCACTCCACCTGCGCTGGAGCTGAGCAAACAGTCAAGCTTCTCTGGTTCAGGCTCCCGGATGAGCAAGACAGGCAGTGCCAGGAGGACAGGCAGGGGGAGTAGGTAGTGACATCCCACACACCCTAGGCTTGTCCTCCACTGCCTCAGCCCCTAGAAACTCTGGCTGGACCAGATCCTCCTCAAAAGGACTGGATAAGGACTCTGAATCCCTTCTAAGCCTAGACCCCATCCTCACTCTAATCTGCTCTTTCATTAATGCCCCCGCTTCTTAAGACGGCTTCTGGGGACCAGAGATAAAATTTCGAATCATGCTGGACTTTCTTTGGAATCAAGGACAATGGATACGGAGCCAGGCCCACCCCGAGAAGCCGAACCCACTCCATTCTCGCACGCCCAGCCTTTAGCTTTGTCCCCGCGGCACCCCCGCGACCCAGCCCCACCCTGGCCCCCTCTCGTGGGAACCTGACACCCTAGCCTGGCGGCTCCACCTGCGCTGCCTGCACACCCGGAGCGGTCAGCGTGTCAAGTGGAGGCAGGCGCTGCCTGGAGACCGCAGGGACAGGCCGCTGCCGCCTCCTCCCTTTTACCTGGGACCAGGAGAGGGTTGGAACGCTAGCCCACCCCCGTTTATTCTTTCAGCGCTCACCTCCGTTCCCAGCTGCCCTCAACACCCAAGTCTGACTCTTCTTTCGGTCAAATTTCCCCTGCCAAGGCTCCCCGCGGACAGATGGCGCCCTCCCACCCGCTCCGCGTGCTGAGGAATCCCGGGGCCCTGGAGGTGGTACTGGGTGCTGGTCCTCCGACAGGAGGGAAAATTGCAGTGCCCACGCTCCGCAGTGAGGAGCTGCAGGGAGCTCCGGTAGCGGTGGTGTCGCGGTCACTGCGGTCACTGCGGCACAGTAGGTAACCTTGGCGCCTGGCTGAGACCTGCGCCGCAGCGGGGGACCCCCAAACAGAAAGCTGATCTCCTCGTCCCTAGACCCGAAGATGCCAGACTCCGCCCCTCTCACCTTCCCTGGCTCTGCAACCTCCTCCCACCCAGCCAGTGCGCTCCGGCGCCCCGGGAGCGCGCGCGCGCGCACAAACACACACACACACACACACACACACACACACACAGACACACACACACACACTTCCCCAGAACTGGGGGCGTTGGTAAGGAAAGGGTGGGAGAAAGGACATCTCTAAGAGAAGACGCGGGGGATCTAGGGAAGGGGTGAGCCTGGAGCCAGTAACTCCCGAGCGGGGACGAGGGCGGAGGGTCACCTGGTGGGACAGAGGGTGACCAGAGCCTGGGAGGGACTGGATTCTAGGCGGGGCGAGCCGAGGAGCAGAGGGGCCGGGGC